ACGGAGAAACTAGATAAGAATTACCTAGTAATACCTACGTACTCAGTATGTTAAACAGGTCGCGTATAAAGGGAATTCACATGGTGAATCTCCGGACAAGAAGACTCATGTCGCACGTGAGAATATGCAAAAACCATCAGCTGGAGATTGATGAATGTGTCCCATCGAGGTAAAGTCGAGGTCGAGGTCGAGGCTATCTTGGCGATCTATTGGCATACGGAGTACTACTGTACAAGCTGAGAACCCATGAGCTGTACCTGGGTGTGAAGATTGTTTGAGGCGAACCTTGGAATGTCTCGATTTCACGTGAGCTGTAGGTAGTCGGAATAGAAAGAATAACTTTCTTTCCCCGGATTTTCCATTCGTCGATCTTTTTCTACTTACTGGGTAGGTGGGTAAGTGGGTAGGTAGGTACTTTCTCTAGATATTTAGATATTTTCCTTCTTCAATTTCACATGCTTACTATTATATAATTATATAATTATATATACATAGCTATATATATATCATCACATTTCCTTTCTATTCCCATTCCCATTCCATTCCCATTCCCTTTCTCCTCCTGTTCCATTCCCTTTCTCCTCCCGTCCCTTCCCCCCTCTTCTTTCGATTCTTTCGTACATCCACAATCTCCATTCTTCTCGTCCAGCTTTCCACCACCAAGCAAATCAATAAAAAGAATATCAAAGCCAAAGCCAAAGCCAAAGCCAAAGTCAAAGCCAAAGCATCAAAATACTGGAGCCTACGGAAGGCGAAATGCAAAGACCGGAAAATCAAATGCACGACAAGAATTAAACCACGTGGTTACGCGCAATGATTATGATTACGAGCATCTCAGCTTGCGTTTTCTTCCTTGGCTTTGCATGTTGTTTCGAGGTACAATGTCTGGGTAGTATGTCTGGGTAGTATAGGTAATATGTCTACAATACAATGTGGAAATGATTCAATGTGATCATATATTACATCTGTCTTCACTATCACTACCATCATTATCTATCTACTACCTATATACATAAACACATACATACACCAGGTGACTACCTAGTCGGTACCTCTTACATATCCGGCTTGTAGAATCTCTCCATTCGGATAACCCATCACATGATCCCTATCCACTCTTCTTCCGCGTCTTATTCCCAATTCGGATCAAAGCTGACTGCTCCCATACTACTGGTACATATATATTCAATTGATGCTGCCTATTTCCAAGAAATCTCCATCACGCCTCAATCGTGCATCAAAAAAGCAAACCTTACCAGATACCCTCCCTCGTCTCCCTTGTCTCCCTCGTCTCCCTCGTCTCCCAATCAATGTCCCGTCATGCATGTCAATCATACTGAAACTTAGTAGGTCATCACATCTATCAATCATCAACATCGTTTCACCATCGTCGCATCATTTACCCACTTGAGATGTTGTCAGCTCTCAGATGTGGTGTACCCTCGTACCCTCGTCACCGCCTCATGTACCTAGCCCTTGGGTGGTATGCATACCGACTCTTTCAAATATGGTTCCATCACAGAACCATCACCAACATTGGAATTGTTTCAATTTTCAATGCCGTATCACCGCATCCAATGATAACTAAACATCACTCGCTTTTTTACTTTAGGCTACAGTCAATGCAATGCATTGTATTGTAACTGTCAAACTTTTCCACTCCATAATCTCAAAGCTTAATACATTCCCAAGGGTTATAACAACGTCGTATTATCACTTACCAATATCATCTCCCTTACATTTGGGTCCAGATTGATATCACACTGGTTAGTAAGCTGATGCATTACACACATATGCATCTAGGATACTCGCTTTCGGTATCGATATCGCATGAAGTTTTCAATCGCGAAACCAACACTCTGGGAACAAGTCTTGCTTTTCCGGCTGTCAGAATGAATAGCCGAAAAATGACTCGATACAACTATCATATCTACCTATGGGTAGTCAGATTCAACAACTAATAACTATGAGATTTCAGAACAATCATAATCCGCAGTTGCCTATTCCCATATGCTTTTCGCACGTGGTAGTATTCACAAGCACGAAACATATGTGGACTTTTGTATCTTCTACGCAGAGCGCCACCAACACGCAAATGCACACCGATCTTTGCGGCATATGTGTCGAGGTGGGTTTAATTTCCACTGTATGTTGCTGGTTTTCTTGCAGGAATAACGCTATCGTCGATCCCTAAGCTCGGGTCGACCACTTTTTTTTCTCAAGTATTTGTCTTTTCCGCGTTTGCCTGTTTGCCCATCTATATTTATGATGCACTTCAATAGCATGATAGACATGATGTATCCCTCTACCTTTTCAGCCTCACTGCTTGCTAAATGCTTAATACCTTCCCCTTCATTGCAATTTATCCTTCATCCGGAGGCTTCAAACCTTCCCTCTCTCCTGTCCTTATATCCATTACTCGATATCTTTCTCTTCGTTGCAAAGCTCGTCAGACCACAAGCCCACAGAGAAATCATCAACCCATCAGCTCATTATACTTAATCTTTGCGTCAAATTCTCTATATCAATCCGTCACATAATTTTCCGAAAGTTCACATTCATGCATCGCTTAGACAGCGGTAGAAATTTACCATCACCCTATATTCTCCAGTGTCAATACAAATACCAGTTATACACTTTTCATTTCTCTATGACAATTTTCTGTTTCTATAATCTCGTTTCTTCTAAATCGTACTTCCAAGTTCCAGAACAGGAAATGTTTCTCTTTCCAGTCGATATTTTGGACCTCTATCATCTTGTCTTCGTTATCTTCCTATACCTAGATATATACAATTATACATACATCTCCCGTTATTTCCCACCATTCAACAAGTTTCTTTCATACTCCAGACGCCCATCCTCTCATCTCATCGCTACCCATTTTGAACTAAGGCAAGGTTGTACAATCGAATGAGCGTTGGCGGGAAGCTCTGTTGCTTGTCTAGGGATACGCACCGTGGTACGTTTACAATACATACGTCTAGTCTATTACGTATATCTACAATACAATACAATAATAGGCAAGTTTCTGTTGCATATCTAGGGATACGCACCGTGGTACGTTTACAATACATACGTCTAGTCTATTACGTATATCTACAATACAATACAATAATAGGCAAGTTTCTGTTGCATATCTAGGGATACGCACCGTGGTACGTTTACAATACATACGTCTAGTCTATTACGTATATCTACAATACAATACAATAATAGGCAAGTTTCTGTTGCATATCTAGGGATACGCACCGTGGTACGTTTACAATACATACGTCTAGTCTATTACGTATATCTACAATACAATACAATAATAGGCAAGTTTCTGTTGCATATCTAGGGATACGTACCATGGTGCGTTCACAATACGTACGTTTAGCCTATTACGTATATCTATAATACAATACAATAGTAGGCAAGTTTCTGTTGCATATCTAAGCATACATACCGTAGTATATCTCGAGTACATATTGTAAAAGAGTAGAAGGTGGTAGGGTCATAAAGTAGTCCTTCGTAGATACCACAGATAAGTCACTGAGACGTAGCGCCTCCGGCGGAGGAGAGGAGGAGTAGGCTCTACATAGCGTATCACAAAACGTACGAGAAGGTGGGTGGGAACTGACTGCCTTTCTCTAAACTACACGAAGAAGACCTATAAATACTAGCTACAGAAAGAGGTCACGTGACCAGTACCAAGTTTCGCTCACAATATGTCTGTTATATACGATATGTGAACTTTTCAGTCCTTGTTTGTTGTATATTTAGGGATACATAGGTACCGTGGTATACTTCTAATATCCCCTAAAGTATCAGAGATAAGCTCCGAAAGTGGTCTGTACGATATACCTTGAATGATAAAGCCTTATTGAATAAAATAGATATTTTAATGATTTTTTAATTATATTATTTATAATATAGAATTTTGATTTCAAATTTTAATTTTTTATAATTTGAAAAAAAGAATAAAGATTGAGAATTAATATATATAATAATACTCGAAATTTTAATATAGAAATAATATTGATTGAATTTTATATTAAAGAATAAATATAAATATTAAATTAAATTCAAGAAATCCTAATAATTTAATTGATTGATAAGATTCCTGTTAAGCAACGGAGCCTATCTCTAATACTCTAGGAGATATATAGCTATTGTTTATAATATAACATAAGAATAGAGGATCTTTTATTATATGTCTAGACATACATATCGTAGTATATTACGATATCCGGAATATATATATATATATATATTAATATATCCAAGACGACCAAGTAAAAGTAAAACTAAACGACCTAACCTACATGGTTAACAAGGCACAACGTCGTGCTTCTTTTACACACTCAAATTTGTATAAGAAAATTAAGCGGCGGTCCGTCCAAGTGTTTCAAAACCAACGGGTTATGCTCTTTTAAAAGAGAGATATTGTGTTTCTTTAGGACCTGCTGAATATAGTCTCGGAGTTGAGTTGGAAAGTAGATACCATAAAATCCTTTCGTGATTAGGTTTTGGTAAGGAGATGCAAGTAATTAGTACACAAGGGAATAAATAGACCGTTCAGTTTTACAGATGTGAGGAGAAGACTCAAGAAGCGACAAATTGCGGTGACTATCATGTTGCATCTACCCCTCCAATCGACAATCGATAGGTATTGTCCTTGGTGAAAGTGGGACAAGGGGAAGTCGTAACAGGGAGACATGAGAGGCCACTGGAAGTTCATCCTCGCTGCTTCGTCATTCATGCAATGACGCGTATCTAGATGCATATCGCTATATCGAGTATGCAATCTCTGGGTCAATAATCTTGTGTGGAAGACACCTGATGATTGCGATCTCTAATATTCATCCGAGCTTCTGCGTTCTTTTGCCTTCAAGTTGTATTTGTTTACTACATGGAACTTCGTGCTCAATTCGAAAAACACAACTTGCCTTGTTAGAATTTGGTTCCAGTTTGCCATGGGATTGGCTAAACTTTGAGTATAAGCAGCTTGTAGCAGCTGACCCTCGCTTGCAAGCAGGAGATGGAATAATTGATTTTAGCGATAGTAATCAAGATGAATTGCTACCCAATTTCCAATTCCGCAGTAGTCGTTGTTGTTGGTCGACTTTAGCTTATCTACCCCACGGGATTGTTAAGTGAACAAGCATATCCCTCTCCTCATTTTCATGTCCTAGTATCCTTCAAAACCCATTCAGATCCTCTCTTCGTATATTTACAGTAAATTTCCGCCATACATTTCGATTTTATTTTGTTAAATTCGATTCTATCTCCACAAGTCACTGCTTCGCCAAGATCTAAAAAGACCTGCTCACAAGCCTTCTCCAAGTGTGAGTCGAACTCTAATATCCAGCATATGAAAGCAGCTAATTGCTTTTCGAGGTAACTCTCTTCGAGGGGGTTCAAGACTTCGCTACAAGGTTCAGCGAACTGAACTTGAGGATTTTGACGATCTGCGTAGGATTTATCTAGGGGATATAGTTAGTAGTGCTTAAGAAATGTTGAGAGAGAGAAAAAGAGGTATAAAATGAATCGCTTACTAGATTTATGGTTAGGACCAGTGACAGTATTATGAACACCTGATGGCATTTTACCGGAAGATATCTTGGTGTATTTGCCCGGCCGCTCTGTTTCCACTTCTTCCTCGCTTTCGGTTCCTATAAACCGTTGATCGAGTTCATCATTTTCGCTACAGACTCCATGAGAATCATTCAGGCGATCACTATCTTTATTGTTAGGATGTCAGCATTATCGTTCACTATTGGGTCAATTCTGAATTACCTTTACGTTTCATTCCAGTACTTTGGTATCCCTTGGTATATAGTGGTAGGGATTCCGAGTTATGCTTTTTGTTATGAAGAGTATTTTGATGTATTGCCGAGTTCTTCTGTTTCACAAACGGATTGAAATTCTTCCATTCGTCACATACCATACCCTTTTTATATACACTCTTCTGAGTTGTAAAATCATCTGTAAAGGTTCCTCGACATCTTTTATCAATCGTTTTCCAAAAAGATGAAAGTGCTACTCCTTCAGACGATATGAATACCCGGAATCTTTTGGCCTGTGAAAGGGACTGTATCTCCTTCAATAGATCCAAGGCATTATCCGATATGGGAGTGAAGGGACAATTTTGATATGGGGGCATGAATACTGTGCCATGATCGTGAAGCTTAAACAATGTACAGCAAAGAGAGCTCTCATCAGTCATTATACCAGCATTTCGTATACTAGCGTAAGTATCGAAACAATACTTAGACTGTGAATAATCTAAGGATAGACAGTTATCATCTGTATCCCGATCAATCAAACTGCCTTTGACAACGAAGTAGAGAGACTTTGTACGTGTATGAGAGGATTTTGGGTTCGCGCTAACTGAAACTGATATGCTAAACCAAAAGAGCAATTCGGGGTTTTTGTCTGTACCAAGTTGTATATTCATTCGGAGTTGGTGATGGTCTGCACCGATAAAGTGAGCTGAACGATTATTTGTCCACCTGATAACGACTGGTAAATCTGTAATGCAGTTCTCCGGAAGAAAATCCGACGACGAAGGTTTGGATATCCAATTCTGGGAAGAAAGAGGGTTAGCTTTTATAGAGAGAGGGAAATAAGGGGAGAGGATAGAGAAAAAAGAGAATAGAGGAAATATACCGCTGTTTTTGATGGAACCGACGAGTCTTTCGAAGGGCACATTGGATCATCCATAGCGGCCTATTGTTATACGGTATTCAAGATAGAACGTCTGGGAAAACAATTCTTAGCGCTATTCTGATAGATAGAAGCAGAATAAAAAGTCTTGGAATACTGTCCTCGATAATCAAGAAACCAAACTCGATGTAAAGAGAAAATACTAGGTCTCCTTATTACAGATGACATTTGACCCGCCTACAAGAGGTGATACCTAGTCCGTCTAGTAGAGGAGACCTAGCATCCGCCCACAGGTGACATTTGATCCGCCTACAAGAGGTGATACCTAGTCCGCCTAGTAGAGGAGATCTAGAATCTGTCTACAGGTGACATTTGACCCGCCTACAAGAGGTGATACTTAGTCCGCCTATAGGTGACATTTGACCCGCCTACAAGAGGTGATACCTAGTCCGCCTAGTAGAAGAGACCTAGAATCCGCCCACAGGTGACATTTGATCCGCCTACAAGAGGTGATACCTAGTCCGCCTAGTAGAGGAGATCTAGAATCTGTCTACAGGTGACATTTGATCCGCCTACGAGAGGTGATACTGAGTCCGCCTATAGGAGACATTTGACCCGCCTACAAGAGGTGATACCTAGTCCGCCTAGTAGAAGAGACCTAGAATCCACCAGGTGACATTTGATCCGCCTACAAGAGGTGATACCTAGAGTAGAGGAGACCTAGAATCCACCTACAGGTGACATTTGACCCGCCTACAAGAGGTGATACCTAGTCCGCCTAGTAGAGAAGACTCAAGATCTATCTACCTACAGGTGCTGAAGAACGTAATTACCGCCAGAGTTGTTGTACTTGTATAGTCGTAATAGATGTTGTGCGATAAAGATAGTGATAGAGATAGCGATAGAAAGACTATGCTCGTATGGTCGTAATAGATATTGTGCGATAGAGATGGATAATATCGAGACAGCGATAGAGATGGATAATATCGAGACAGCGATAGAGATGGATAATATCGAGACAGCGATAGAGATGGATAATATCGAGACAGCAATAGAGATGGATAATATCGAGACAGCAATAGAGATGGATAATATCGAGACAGCGATAGAGATAGAAGGATATCGAGACAGCGATAGAAATGGAGATAGAGCAATGCGATAGGAAGACTGTATTTGACGTGGTATGAAGAGAAAGTTTGCAGTCTACAGAGGTTGACGGCGTAAGTCGTGTAAGCCCCATTTTTAATAAAAGTTGCTGTTTTACGAAATTCCAATGCTGCTTTTACTAATTTTACTAGACATTCAGCCATCCCCCTATAAATTTTCAACCAGCGTGATGATATGATTGGTTCAAACGATAAAAATGGGGAAAAGCTCGGTCGCTTTTTGGTGTGTTTTACCATACCTCAATACTTACGCCGTCAACCTCCGTAAAGAGACGAGGAAACCTCTGAATAATACAGTCAGACCTGGCTATAAGGGCCTAGAAATTTCGAGGCCTAAATGCCCGTATCCCCTAGACTGCCAACTAGCGGCGCCGTCGCTTAATGAACACTTATTGACCAATTAAAACATTAGGATTTTGAGATTTCTTATTATTTTGATACGTTTTCTTATAATAATTATTCAACATTTCTTGTTTTCATAAAAATAAATGATACATCTTTTAATTCTTTATATAATATTTTATTTATTTTCTTTATTAATAAATATTAAGTTTTTAATTTAATATATATTTATAAATACATATTATATAAAAATCGCTGGAAAATATCTCTCATATTCTAAGATAAGATATAATAATATTTATAAAATTGTTTAGTTATTATTTTGTAATTAAAAAACTATATATATATAACTGATATATTTATTATCATTTTTCTATTAAATTATAATCTTTATATATAATATCGAAGTCTTTATATATAATATTATCAATGAAATTATTGATGTTCTTGCTTAGTGCACGGACCACTTACGGCGCCGCTAGCTGGCAGTCTAGGGGATATAGAGGCTTCCCGTATATACAATTTCAGCCTTAGCATTTAGCCTCGTTTTATACCTTCAGCCTTTTCATTTTCATTAAATATACTATTCTTAGGTGCGTTAAATAGGCTCCGAAGGTAGTCTGTACGATATACCTTAAATAATAAAGCCTTAATAAATAGAATAGCTATTTAATAGTTTTTCAGTTATACTATTTATAATATAGAATCTTGACTTTCATTTTCGATTTTTTTAAATTAAAAAAATTCTAGAGATTGAAAATTAGTATATATTATTATATTCGAAGTTTTAATATAAAAATGATATTGATTGATTTTTAATTAAAGATTAAGTTTGAATATTAAATTAAATTAAGGAATTCTGATGATCTGATTGGTTAATACGCCCCTGTTAAGCGACGGAGCCCATTTAACGCACCTAAGGGGATATGAATTTATGAATTCATTATATAATAGGCCAAAGCAATATTCCTGTTTCGGAAATCAAAGATTATTTGCCTAAAAACTCTTCCTTAGCAGCTTACCAACTTTAAGGTAGTATTTCACGAAGACTATGAGAAGACTGAAAAGAGCCCAGAGGTTAACGATCTTGCAGAGATAGATAGTCTCTGCGCTGTGCTTACGGTTGAACTGAGTCGAAGCGCGATGGATAGATACATAACGTCTATATCGATTGAACTCTATATACCCTAAAGCTTCCCAGACCGAAACGTATGTTTTAACATCTGCGAGAAATACACCAGCTATTTAACAAAACAAGCCAAAAAGTTTGTGAGTCCTGATCCGTAGTCTGAGGAGATTGCGAGTAGGAAACCTCCTTAGATGAGCAAGCTGATTTTTCCTCTCCGATAACTGCTATCTTCTGCGGCTGATGTGTTATCATACCTTTGGGAGAATCCTCCATCGTAGGACCTTCATTTTCGGGGCCCAAATTCAACGCTTCCGCAAATGAATGATTAACTCTTTTACTAGCATCCATATCTTGGACATCCTTGTCCCGCTTCCTTGAAGTGTGCACTAACTTAAGCTCTGCTTGATTTGCCCTATAGTGAACGTTTGAGATCCATAATGAAAGAGGAAACATATCAGCTACTTCCTGAAGTGGAACAGCAGAAGCCTTTTGTTTGAGACGCAGTTCTTTTATCAAAGGAAACATAAAATGGAAGTCCAGGACATTCAGATTGCTTCCTCCGAAAATTCCCATAGTTGCTCTCTAAGTCGATAAGTTCTTGGAATTCTGGAAATTTGCTAAAGGAAACCTTTGCGTTTTGAAGACCTATGATCAATGAAGTAGCTGAATAATAATTCCGCCACCCCAATAGATACTATGGGAAGTTAGTATATATATTCTAGTACAGAGCAGTAACTTACCTTTATAATCTCAACAATAGAGTTGAGATATCCCCTATGAACTGTGATACGATCTGCCACCTCCTGGCAAAGTCCATTCCATTGTTGGCCTATCAAATTCAATCTCGGTTGATTTGGTTGAAGAATATCGTAAACATCTAGTCGAAGGGATCGACAATCGGTTTCTGTGAGGGATTTGGCTATTCTCTTCGGACTGTTCCGTTCCAGATTGTTCTGTTCCAGGTTATCCAAAAATGAGAAATCTGTAGATAGATTTTTGGACCAATCAATATCGGGGGCATGAATAAATTCTCTCTGAAAACATAAAGATAGAATATCAAGTCGCTTCACTAACAACACGACATTTTTGCGAATATTTCGAAGATCGGATCAAGTAACAACTGAAGGCCATCCCGGGGTTTGATGAGGAGATCATAACGAATGAAACTAGCAGATAATATCCAGTATACCATAGGATGTCGGGACTGAAATGCCTATTCCTTGAATTAAGATGTGATCGATTTACTAAATCAGTAGAAATACTTACATTCATCACTAACTCTGCTTCCTCCCGCTCATTAGGACCGAAAATCTCTTGATATTTTCTAGAAAGATTGCTGCAGATCCCAGAAATCTGATGAAGTATGTTACGGATTGCGACATCTTCATAGCCCAATGCAAGCCAAACCCAAGCTGTATATGGGATTTGATTGATCCAGTACGGATATCGGAATCGATTTTTTCCGCGATTTGGTGAAGTTCCAGAAGAGAATCTATCCCGGAAGTGATAGATTACCCATCCCAATGTGGATCAGATGTTGATGGGGAATAGCATAGATACACAATGTTCTTTACTGTGGCTGCTGAAGAACAGTGGGGAGAAGAGTTGAGTTCGTGAAGGAAGTCCAAAAATCCAGCCAACCAGAGGCTGGATCTCTCAGAGAGTAGCTCGCAGGGAATGTTTTCGTCCGGGGAGAGGTATCTGCAAACGAGCCGAACATCGTTATATTCATTTGAGGACTGAAGGACATTCCTAGCTGCCCTCTCCCACCATTCTTTATCAGACCCACAAAAAGTCGATGTTAGGGATAAGTCGTCTCATTCTATTAGCTTACACCTTTGAAAGATCGTAGAGAGTTTGAGTCACCAGGCATGATAGTATATCACTCGGGGAGCTGAATCTCGAAGTCTATGGTTTGACTTCTTACTTGCAGAAGGGTAGTGGTGAATAAGGCAACACAATGAGGCAAAGGCACGCCTAGTAATATAGCAGTAAGCAATAGATGAAGAGAATGTATATAGGCTGCTTTGTGCTATAGCCTTTCTTATAAAGAACGATATTTCTCCTTCGAGATCACATAAACAAAAAATAAACCCACAGTCGAGAAAAACACACAAGCAAATATACACTAACAAAAATTCACAAAGTCTCTCCGTCATTCTCTATTCTAAAGACTAGACTCGGTGCTGTTCGTATATGATAATAAGAGGAATAAAAAGGACTATGAAATCCCGTATACTATATACTTATAATAATCAACGAAAAAACACATTTCGTTATACTGATTGGAATTTTGTAATTACAAATGCAGATGCAGATACCGCGTGATATTGAGGAAATGAACAAGCTGGGTATTCTTTATGTTTGATTGGAGTGAAAAGGATAGGATAGGTAATTAGGAAGATCATGAGGTTGCGATTGCGCGGTACTGGGGATGAATTTAGGTACTAGGTACCTAGGTATATACAGTATGTATGTATAGTGAAACTCCTGCACGCATTTAATCGATTGAGAGCGAAGGAAAATTTGGATGATAGTAAGGGTGCGTATGAATTGTAAAGAGAACGGGAAGAAGAAAAATTGGAAAGTTATCATAGATGGTGGTACCCAAAGCATAAGGGTATTCGCAATTTCAAGTCGAGATCTAGGATATCCATAGACTAACTATTATATGAATAGAGGGGAAGTATCAAAACTCCAATAGATCGTGTACAAATTCGATATGGAGAATCTTTCAATGTATATTCTAGAATTCGATACGATATCTTCCTGGAATCTTCAAAGCTCTGTTATGGTCATATCCCGTGGCGATAGCATTCGCGTCTATATCTGTTCCTATTGGAATAAAGTGAACAGCGCGACAATACACCAAAGTCGGGTCTTTAAGTAAAATTATGGATGGTTCTTTGTAATTGTAAACGTAGCATTCGAGGAGCCACTAGAATAAGTACAGAGCAAATCTCGAGCGCAGCGAGCTATGGGGGTTTGGGGGCTTGCCCCCATAATAATACTTTTTATCAATTGACTGGTCAGTTGATCGATGTTGATATGAACGACGCTTTGCTGACCCTCTGGGGGCTTCAGGGATGGTGGATGGGGGAGGTGGTGGCAGCTGTTTGTAGGGGGAAAAAGAGGCCGATTTTAATCACAAAAATCGACAATAAAATGTTTTAATTAATTGAGTTATGAATCAATTATAATTTTTTAAAAAGATAAAAAATATTAAAATAATATCTTCCTTTGAGATATATAGATCCTTATCAAAAAAAACTAATCTTAGATTTAAAGAAAAGAAATTGCATAGTTGAAAATGTTAAGAAATAGTTAATTCCGGCCTGTTTTTTCCTATACTAATAGAATAGAAACTATTCTGAGAATTCTATATAGCTGTCTGCTATATGAACGACGCTTCGCTGACCCTCCGGGGGCCACTGCCGTGGAGGCAGAGTATTAGGAAAAATTGATACATCAAATGAAGCAGACCGAAACGTTTTTGTAGCAAATTCCATTGCTTGAAGCATGGTCATGAAGATGATATGAAATAAACATCAACTCGAAGTTTCTCAATCCATGTCGTAGATTGTTGCTATAGGGTAAACAATCATAAAATACCAGCTTTTCAAATATCAATCAATCGTTTGATATATGTCCACGATTCCTCATCTTGAGATAGAAATATTCAGACGTTCAAGGTATGGACTGTATGTAAAACAGTGTTAGGATAGATGCACGATAAGCTTTTAAACACAAGGATTGAGATCGTGAATAACTAACTTGTAACCCCAACATGCGACAAGAATGTTACAAGATGGGACGGACGATCCTACAAAATGAAAAAGAAGAAGAAGATAAAGTTGGGGAGGAAAAGTATGGTTTGAAAAGTGCTTGATAATGCTTGGTAATGCTTAAACTCAATTCCGTGTCAGTGTCACAATTGATACTGTATAATCGATGGGTGGTAGTCCCAAAAGAGTAAATTTCGAGAAATTCCATCGACTCTACTCTCAAAACTCCGTATGCAGTGAGTGGTCCGATCCATGTTCCACCACATGGAAAAGTATTCCGAAGGATCAGGATAATCATTCATTCCATTGTGAATCCATCAGCCAATACATGAAACATTTCATCTGGATGTCTCGTGTCGGAAATCGTTCATCCAGATACTTTATACCCAGTTACTTTTTATAGAATCGACACAATCGATCAGCAACAACATTTGTATGCGTTATTTAATCGGCTTCCTCTTCTCCATTCAGCGTGTTCGTAAATCGTCTAGATACGATTCTTGCCAGATAAAATGAAGGTTTCCACATATATGTTTCGCAACACCCGTCTAGGAAATCGGTAGATGAAGCTTGTGATGGTTAGAGAGATGTGGTATATAAAAATGGGAAGGAAAAGGGGGATAAAGATTCTTCCCCGAAATTTGTCATATGCATGGAAAGTTACTAAGAGATGTCATGTATGTATGTGTGTACATCAACGTCGAAAAAAAGCTTCGAACGACGAAAATGTCGGAGCAGAACGGAAGTACATACCTTGTAGTCGACATGACTAATTAGTAAAAATGGCTTCATATCCTTGATATCCCCTTGCATAAACTGGGGTTGGGAGAAAAGGTGGGTAGAGGGAGGGGTTCTCACAAGGCTGCTTCTTTACTGTTTTAGGGGTAGATCGGGCTCGGTCCTGGAAGCGAAAGACAAATTATGTACGATGTAGTAAAAGTTGGGTTCAACGTCAAGTGGCATGGAGAGGGGTGGTTTGGTGACAAAATCCCCCTTACTTTTCAACAATGCGTGAGTGTTGTCGAGCTGATGATTGGGATTATATTGCGAGGATGAGATGGGATGAGATGAGATGGGATGGGATGGGATTGATGAGACGATATTTATGTTGGTGGTCACAGGGGATGGATGAACTTTCAAACCACAATGCAAAACAGTATACTCGTATGTCAAGTATTCCAGAGAGAAAGATTCTACTACTGTACCTAACTCATTTATTAATCTACTCTCTGAAAGAACAACTATCCCATACCACATACCTAATACAATAATCCTCATTCGCCGTTAACATCCGACTAAATATCACCCGGGAAGGTCCATACGGGAAAAGATATCCACAACCCGTTCCCCATTTAGCGGGTCGTATTGAATAAACATCAACCGACTAGCTTGATTTCCTACCCAAATCCTCATCTTCATCTCAACACTTACCATGTGTGACCCTGCCATCCCGTCCGATATTCTTCGGATTATTATTGAAACCCCAACGAAACTACCAGCATGCTGTTACAAATTTTCTTCTTCTCAAAGCTCACGCGCTGGTTGTGTCCATATCCTGGTTTCTTCATCATGGAATAACCTCCGTATCGAAAGTCAAGGTACCCACTTAAAAGTATTGCGAACAACTGTATTGTCCCATCAAATATATCAATGATGAACATTCTCCCACGAGTCTTTTTTTTCTTCTGAATTCGTCGCACTACTGTAAAGTCAAAAAAACTTTATATTCAAATGGCTTCTTCTTATAATTACAGCACATCCAGTTCTGAAGTCGGAACTCCATATACTCCTAGATCTTCTTCTCCTACTTATTCAGTCGCAAGTCGTTCTTCTTCTACCACCATCAGTAAACGCATCTCTATTTCGACAAGTCGGAGAAATACAGCTATGAATCCCATAGGTGGCATTGATATTGCTGCCATTGAAGCGGCCATGAAGCAATCTTCTCTTGACCATCTGAAAGGTTATAGTCAGACAAATTATTCAACGGTTACTCAATCCAATGACACCGAATATATCTCTCAAGATGCCGCCAAAGGATATCAGGTTCTTCGTGAGCCTGCATGGAATAAAGGTATATTTTCATATCATTCATCTACCTAGTATTTCAACCCTCAGATTTCTAACCCTCCAAAAGGTACCTCCTTTACTCCCGAAGACAGAGTCAACAAAAACCTTACTGGTCTCATCCCTCACGTCCTAGAGAGCCTCGAAACACAATGCATCCGAGCCATGCGAATGATCAATAGTCGAGCAACCCCCATCGACAAATATCTCTACCTCTCCAACATCAAAGCCCAAAATACAGATCTTTTCTACCGTCTCTTAATCGATAATATCGCTACTCTCATGCCCCTCGTCTACACCCCCACAATCGGTGATGTCTGTCTCCAGTACTCCACATTATACACTCGTCCAGAAGCATTATATATTTCCATCAAGCAACGCAAGTCCATGACCACCATTTTGAGAAATTGGCCATATCCAGACCCTTCAATTTGTGTCGTGACCGATGGATCACGCATTCTCGGTCTTGGCGATCTCGGTGTTAACGGTGTTGGAATCTCGGTTCGTACCCCTCACCCCTTTTTGAACAAAACATCCCCTCCTTCCCTCTCTGTCCTTCTCAAACCCTAACTAACCCTCCCTTCCAGATCGGTAAACTAGCCCTCTACACCGGAGCAGCCGGTATCCATCCCGAAAAAACCCTCCCCATCGTCCTCGACTGCGGCACCGCCAATGAAGAAAATCTCCGCGACCCCCTCTACCTCGGTCTCCGCATGAAGCGACCCGGCCCCGAAGTCGAGCAGCAATTCATGGATGAATTCATGGCTGCCGTCAAAGAAGTCTACCCTCAGATGCTCGTCCAATTCGAAGATTTCGAATCCGAAAAGGCATTCAAGTATCTCGATCGATACAAGGGCGAAAAAATGTTCAACGATGATATTCAAGGCACAGGAGCGGTCGTCTTAGCTGGGTATGTATCTCCCCCTCCTCGTATTCCCCCATGTATTAATTTGATCTAGATATATCGGCGCAGTCAATCTCTCCGGAGTCCCCATCGAAGACCAGAGATTAGTATTCATGGGCGCGGGCTCCGCTGGTGTCGGAGTCGCAAAACAAGTCATGGAATACTACACGCGTCGCGGACTCTCTGAAAAAGAAGCCCGTGACAAATTCTGGCTCGTCGACACCAAAGGCCTCGTCACCACCGACCGCGGCGACAAATTAGCCGCGCATAAGAAAATCTTCGCAAGAGATGATAATAATGGTCATCAATTCCAAACCTTGGAAGAAGTCATCGAGTATGTGAAACCGACGGCGTTGATCGGGTTAACGGCTACTTTTGGCGTTTTTACAGAATCGGTGGTGAGAGCGTTGAAGGTGAGTGTGGATGCGGGCGGATTGGGACGACGACCCATTCTCTTCCCGCTCAGTAATCCCCTCACAAAAGCAGAATGTACCTTCGAACAAGCAATTACCTGGACCGAGGGAACCGTGATTTTCGCATCCGGATCCCCCTTCTCGCCGGTGACGATCAAACATTCCGAGTCCCCCTCGGAAAACTCCACAACGTACTACCCCAATCAGGGCAACAACGTGTATGTCTTCCCGGGACTGGGACTCGGAGCGATCTTGGCCAAGGCCTCGAGAGTCACAGATGCAATGGTGTATCAGAGTGCGGAAGCGTTGTCGGGATGTTTGAATCGGGAGGAGTTGATGATGGGACTTATCTATCCGAAGATTGAGCGGGTGCGCGATGCGAGTGTGGTGGTTGCGAGGGAGGTGATGAAGGCGGCGAGGAGAGAGGGGGTTAGTGAGTTGAGTGAGGAGTGTTGGGCTGTGTGGGAGGAGTGGGGGGATGTGGCGTTGGAGAATTGGATTAGGAAGCAGGTTTATGATCCCCGGTGGTAGAGTGAGTGAGGAAGAGAAGTTGGATGGGAGATGATGGTTTGTTTGCTTTTTTCGTTTCTGTTGCGCTTTCGAGGGCTGGCATGCTAGGGCAAGATACCATGACTTTTTAATGCGAGTTTGCTTCTTTTCGTAGGAGGTATATGGATTATACGAGTGGTAATTACATACTCCAACTTCCAAATTATTACAAGTTGGTGGTAGATATCAGAATAGACCAAAGAAAAAATAATATCACAAGAAATGATTCTTAACTAATTCAACTCCTTTTGAATTTTTGAACCCCTCTAATCAAATCTTCATCGATAATACTACGATACAAACACTAAGAGCATTCCACTCCCTCTTCCACTCACTCGAGACCGAATTTCCTCTATCCATATGGCAAAATCATCATAATAGAGAGCGAATATAAGAAATACAAAGAAAACTCTTACAATCCTCCTCTCCTAATATCATGATCCTGTAGAGGCTCGAGTTCCCTGCGAGAATAGTATTCTGATGCGGTTTTTGATACTTAGATTATCTAGATATACCTAGGTATTCAAGAGTTATGAATACTAAATACACGAAATAGGAAATAATATGGTGAGTTATAAGAGGTGATGAACACTATAAAATTTTTCTATCATATTATAGATTATCTTTCATAGTCTGTATATAATTCTAGATAAGTAGTAAGTAGTGAGTAGTAAATGATAAACTTGGAAGATTCTTTGATGGAATATGATATGGAGAAGAAGGAGATGAGCGAAATGCGCTATTCAAAATCGAAATGGAGATATTTGATTTCTTCCATTCTGTATTAAAGTTTGAATGTTTGTTTTGTTCATGTGCGGGTATATTAAATCGAGTCTTTAGAACTCGGAATTTATGTTTACATGTGTAATCTCATCCTATCTGTGGAGAGCAATCCGGTATGGGGTATGGAAGGGAGAGGGAAAGTTCTCTGCTATTGTGTTAGTATTGATTTGAGTGCAAACTGCTATCATTGAACTTGGTCTGATTTTCATTATTTCCAAAATTTCATAAACAAAATTTCTCTCCTTCTCTTACCTCCTTCATCATTCATCATCCATCACCCCTCCAATCCCTCCACATAATCCCTAACCGCCTGCTCAAACCCTCTATCCTCCCTAAACCCCAACCCAAACGCAAACGCATTATCATACCTCACCCCCCAGCTCCTCAAAATCCTCACCGTCGCCTCCTCCTCCTCCTCCCTAATCAACCCCAATTTCTCCTCTCCCCCAACCTTCACCAACGCATCCAACATCTCCTGCACACTCGCTCCTTTCCCGGGTAGATTAACCGCCCTACGATGTCCATCCACCCCCTGCAACTCCATCTCCATCGCATGAATCAAATTCTCCGTCAACGTCCTCGGACTACACATCCAGCTCACAAACCCACGATCCTTAATCGGCACCACGCACTCCTTCCCCGCCATCGGCTCTCTAATCATCCCGCTCAGAAACGAACTCGCCGCCTGCGTTGGTTTCCCCGGCCTGATACTAATCGTCGGGAAACGCAATGCCAAACCATCGATAAATCCCCTGCGGATGTAATCCTGCAGGAGAGTTTCACATGCTAATTTCTGACAGCCGTAAGAGCCCTCGGGAGTGGGATGCGTATCCTCTGTGATTATTTCCGGGAGCGGTCTCCCGTATACCGCGAGCGAAGATGCGTAGATGACACGAACTAATCTGCCCTCGGGCTTCAAAGATGGATTATTTCTGATTCCTTCAAGAAGAGAAAGTGTAGAGTGCAGATTTACTTTCATGCCGAGCTCGAAATTTTGCTCCGAGCCGGATGACATGATGCCGTGGAAGATGAATATGGTGTCGATTGTTCCGGCCGAGGAAAGGAGGGAAGAGAGGGACTCGGCATTGCAGAGATCGGCTTGGATGCATTGTGTGTTTTGGGGATGGGGGGAGGAGGGGGCAGAGGGTGTGATGATATCGGTGAGGATAAGTTTGTTTTCTGGGGCGGTGGCATGGTTGGTGAGGAGGTGAGTGGCGAGGAGTTGTCCGATGAAGCCTGAGGCGCCGGTTATGAGGATGGTGGGCATGGTGGTGATGTTGTTTAACCTGTTGAAACCAATTCGAAAAAACGAGAATTTTAATCCTTTCTGTGCACAGAATTCACAGCTTTATGTCTTATAAGTAGGAACTCCTTATGAGAATCAAGAATCAAAGAAGTCGTCAGTTGCAAACCGAGACTCTGATAGATGGAAGAATTGACCCCGAAGCCGAAAGAAAAATGGGGGTAAAGAAAAATGGGGGTTAGTAATCGCTCTATATATGATTGATGCTGTACATATGCCGGCTGCAAATCCACGCAACTTGTACAACTTTGCGGTTGAGCTCTAGAGATCGGTAAGTACGGCACATATATGTAGTATATTTCTAGACGGAAGGTTTTGCGACGGAAGTAAGACCATCTCCAAGTTAGAGATTTTAACCCCGCCTCTACCCCGCGCCGTGGGGGGGCAAAATGGTGGGGGTCATAATGTCCCTGAAATTTCTAAGGGGCATAGCCGACAATGATATGTGTTCGTGTAGGTAGGTATTCTTTATCAAGTAGCGAGCAAATAGAAATACATTGCCATGGAGAGGAATATGATGATTGGGTTAGGCTAAGCTGGGCTTGGTCACCATTCGAATTCTTGCGGATGTATATCAGTCATATTGCATTTCGTGTCGAAAGAGACGATTGACAATTGGACCGTTTAAATTTGCTTATACCATGATATTGATTTATCTATCTTTTCAATTGTCTTTGCATTGGACAATGCAGATGTCCGGTTTTTGCTCCCTCAAATTTAACCAAGCAATATTCTTTCTGGTTCAACATCAACAGAACTTGGTCTGGAAATCATCATTCATCTCTCCTGTTAAGATTTTCCCCTCTCAACTCATGAAACACTCATCTAAGCTCGTGGCTCCTTGATTCTTCTTTTTTCCGTAAAACTTCTTTACAAATGCCTCAATCTCCACCTACATTCTTTCCACAGGACTCAACCCCAAAATGCGCATACCATTGTAAAGTACCACTCTAGCCGCATCATAAAGAGCCATTCTAGCCTTCATGACTTCCCTCTCGCTACCCATAATTCTAAGATGATCATAACTACTACTAAGAACGTGAGTCATCTTGAAGAGATATGTAAGAATGGTCGTTGGTTCTAGAGTCTTGACAGTGTTCTGAACAACATCTGGGTATTGGGAGAGTGTTCTGATGAGGTTTTGAGCGTGGACTTCAGTAAGGAGTGAAAGGTCTGCGGAGGCAATTTCTCCGGGTGTAAGAGCTGCTTTACGGGTGATGGAACAAAGACGAGCATGGGCATATTGAAGGTATGGACCTGTATCTCCTTCGAAAGATGTCATGGTTTCCATGTTGAAAGTGTATCCGTTGACACTAAGAAGAATTAGTTTGGAACTCCAGATCATAAAAATAGAAGTAAAAAACAATCGATTCACTTACCGTTTACCACTCATGTCCTGTACCATGACAGAGCTGATACCAAGGATATCAGATGTAGCGACTGGATCGGCAATCTGCTCATATTTGGCCTCGTTCTTTTGCATAACCTCGTGCATCTTTTCGGCAACATCTCTCAAGATATCATCCAAGAATTTGACAGTACCACGACGAGTACTCATGCCATGAACCAATCCGAAGTTGATGTGTTGACACTTATCTCGGAGTTCCTTGTAGCCCAAAAGTTCAATAATCTTGAACAATTGTTGTAAGTGTAGCTCTTGATCAGTTGCGACAACGTAGATCATTTGATCAAAGTCATACTTTTCTTTTCGTTGTAACAATTCGCTAATATCTCTAGTAAGATAAAGTGCTGTGCCATCCCTTCTCTTAACGATTGCTTTTCCAAGACCTTTGCCAACCTTTCCGGCCACGTGCTTGGTGAAATCGACAATCATAGCACCTTGCGACTCTTCGGCAATTTTCATTTCCTCCATTTTCTTTCCAGTCTCCTCCATTACTTCTGCTTTGACTTGAGATTCTCCAGAATAATCATCAAAATGAATGTTCAATCGTGCATAAGTCTCCCTGTATCTCTTGATACTAAGCTCACGGAATCTAGCCCATTGCGCAATTGCTTTTTCATCGTTCTCCGTCATTGCTTTGAAGTATCGACGAGCTTGTTCATCCAAACCTTCATTCTTGATATGCAATGCTTCATCTGTCTTTCCTTCTGCCTCTAATGCTGCCATCTTATCAGCCTCAGCCTTCACATCTGTATTGATCTTGACGTAAATTTGGAAGAGATGATTGATAGGATCTGCCTTTAAAGCTTCTTCATCTCCATATTTGTCAAATCCCAAAGCCAATAATCCATATTGTTTGCCCCAATCTCCAAGATAGTTGACACGAGTCACATCCCATCCAACTGCCGCGTAAAGATTCGACAAGAAACCTCCAATAATTGTACTTCGAAGATGACCAGCATGGAAAGGTTTTGCGATATTTGGGGATGAGAATTCAATGACTATTTTCTTTTGTCCTTTTGATGGATCTTCAGGATCGACGAGACCGAGATATTTGTTTTGACCAAAGTTTATCTTTTGTTGGATGATGGTAGGAATGAGAAGCTCGTTAAGTCTGTCGGCTTTGAAGAAGAATTGGAGATAGACACCATTGGTGGTAGGCTTATGAACGAGAGGTGATTCAGGAAACTATTCAACCCAATTTGTTAGTCATTCTCATGATATATGACTTGATTGCGACGAGTGTACCTTTGCCGCCCATTCTTCTGCGAGCTCGTTGGGTTTTTTGCCCTTGACTCGCAAAGCTGGCACAGGCAACACCAAGTCACCTTTGTCCAAAGTGTTTGTCCATGCTAACGCAGGGTAAATAATGACGGAATCTACACCAGTAATCTCAGCTAAGTGAGAAGTAATGTGAGCTCTGTAGATATCGTTGATGTTGACATCAGGGTGACAATTAGGGAATTTGGGTAAGTCCGACACACTCAAAGACTTGAGTTTCTCCGAAATGAAGTCTGAGGATGAAGTTGTCGTAGCCATCTTGTAAATTGTGGTTGAAAATGTGCGAAAAGAATTGAAGCTGTGGGGTTTAAATCGAGGGGTATTTTGGACTGAAGTGGAGATCAATTTCAGACAGTGGAGTGAATTCTTGCGAAGGATAGAAAAGGTGAAGCTCATATGGTTGGAGACAGTATCAACAATACCTTCTCCGCTATGAGATTATGGTGAAGTGCGACGATGAAGAGAGGATTGAGTAATATTTATGACTCTCGATTCTCGTTGGTGACTCAAAAAGTTCCTGGTTAACTGAACTGACCAACCCACCCCTCAAAGGATTTTTCTGCTGGTTCAACAGGGTTGCTTCATCTTTTTGGGCTTAGTTGATTTACCGCCTTTGTTAATGCCTTCAATCTAAGGCCAGTAGTAGATCAAATAATGTTCTAAATTCATTCTGGAAAATATTTCAAGCCATAAGATCACCACTCGTGTCTCTCAAGCCACTTCGATTGTAATGGTAACGGTCACACCAGATTTTTCCTTGAGATTCCAGTTTGGATAGGGAAAATGGTCAAGATTTGATTAATATCCTTCCGCTTTCGTCTCCGCGCGCCTTAAGAAGGCTTGGCTATCATCATCTTCACTCTTCTCTCTCCACACACTTTTTCGAGCGTTGTCTACAACTACCTACTGAAGAGCTCTCTATCCCAATTCACACATTTTCAATTTTTTCACTTCTTCTACCTCTTCAGTGAAGAATACACCATTTCAAGAGATCAAATGCAGTAATTCAAATCATGGATTTATTTCAAAGGGATGATAGTTCATTCCTATCATTTTCTAAAAACAATTGATAAAGTCATGACGATAATAAGAAACCCTTCCATTTTCAACGCCATCCATATTCGAACAGTTAATCATATCTGACCCAAAAGGCAAACAACCCCCCCTTTCTCAATACACCATACCGAATCTTGTCCATTCCCAAACAAAAGACCAAGAGATAAGTATGGTATATACTCCTCTAAAAAGGACTGAAGATAATAACACCAAGTAGGAAATCCAAAAGTTATAACAATCAGAACCAGAACCCAAATTCCAAACCCACCAATTATGAATATTAAAAATTCCGCCATTACCCCGCACTTCTATACCACCTCATGTTGTGAGACTCTCCAGCATTTTCGTCTTTGCCGACCTCGTTCAATGAGCTGGAGTTGGAATATCTTGACCGTCGTCTCGTAGCATTCGAATGAAAGCACGTTCTTGAGAATCTAAACACATCTGTTAGCCAATTGTGTCCTCTAAAAAGTGACTGAGGAGTTCTTACTCGGTCGAGAATAGTTTGGGCCGGACTCTTCCACAGTAATCGAGCGTGTATCGACTTGTTCATCGCAAACGACTGCACCATCTGGGCCCGACTCGGGAGAATAATCCATTCTCATTAAACTGATTCTGAGGCGATAACGACCAGGGGCGTGAATTGCAAGATCTGGGAAGAAGAAGTACGCTTGATCGCGCACACCTCTAGATCTAGTTTGAGCGATAGGATGCGCAGAGTCTGCGGCTTTCCCATCCATTTGTTCATATATAATTTGACCACTGGCGTAATGGATGAGTGAAACACAAGTCCAGTAACCGGCAAGATGTTGATAAAGATCGTGCTCACTACTGAGTTGAACAATCAGAGGAGGGTATAAGATAGATCCTGGGCGAACTCGCGCGGGAGGTTGGACTGCAATAGACAACATGTTGAAGGTAAGGTGTGTATTGTTAGGTGTTGGGTATGAGTGCTGATTAAAGAGGTTTTCAGATGGCAGGAACTGAAAACTAAAAGGACAAGGAGTTGTGGATGATCAAATGCGACTTCTTTTCGATGACTTATCGAAGTAGTGATGGCGGGTGGGTGTTTGACTGGATGATAATTGGAAGTTTGTTGTGAATTTCGAAACGAAGACAGTGTGAAGAGAAGACTGATTGAGATGATGATGAGAAATACTTCGAAAACATGGACGAAAGGACTCCTTTTATCTTTCTCCATTGCTCACACTCGGAGAAGAAAATATATGAGGCTGAGATACCTCTTGAATATATCATGGATGGGATAGAATCTTCCCTCCCGATAGGTATCTCAAGAATAGTTCATGCCGCCTCAATCGAATAGAGAACTATTCGCTTGTGCCCTTCGACCAGTCAGAGCCAATCTATTTTTTCGATAATATCAGCTCTGACAGCATCGATGAGGGAAATATTACTTGATTTTCTGCGGGTAATTCCTCTGTGTGGCCTTTTTTTACTTTACTTCTTTTCCCCTCAGACTATTGTTCGGGGAATTCCAAGCAAGGGAAGCCGGTCCCACCGATACACACATTATTGTGGAAGTCTTAGATCTACCCAAGATTTGAACGTTGTATAGATCTCATGCAACGAAATGCAAGATTTGGTTTTATGCGGTATTCCCAAGGGAATGGTCCAGGACCCACGGTGGTAAGTCGCAAGCCATGCTTATCTCGGTAAGGTCCACTCGGCCACGCTAAGAGAAAACTACAGGGCCATCGGGACCCGGCAAGTCGTCACCACTGTCACATTCGGCTCGTGTTAGTGACAATTGCTGATTTGATGGCAATGAATTACAAGATACAAAATACCACCCTAGAAAATTATGTACTTGGAGCCAATAAAGAGATGGGAGTAAAGATAGTAAGTTAATCTTTGGAGTACTCAATCGAATCTTAGATTGAATGTTACCTCAGAGGGAGCTTTCTTCTCCTTTAGAGATTTACTCCGTCTAAACCCTTGAAAGTATCTATCTACCTTGGAATCATTTTCCTTTGAAGTCAATGGAGCATCTATATCACATCCACTCTATTTGCTTTGTACTTGACTGAACTAATTAACTCGTTCAATCCGATTTTAGTATCAATCCATTATCTCCATTATAGTCCTGACCAACTTGCACCAAATTTAGGCTCAATTGGTCTACGGTACACTTCATACAATCTGATTTTAGGATAATCAATTGGAGGAAATGGAAACCCTCTTTTAGTGAAACCTTCATTGACACACGGCAAAAGTGTTATTTTCCCTCATCCCAACAATCTTACTATCAGGCAGTGTCAGCTCCTCTGTCAAATCCATTGCCATTTTCAGTATGGCGTGTTAGTGGCGCCCCTCTAAAGCCTTTTTCAAGGGTATACGATCGATTTCGATACCCTGTCATAGGTCTCGTGGGAATCTCAGCTATCAAGGGCTAGCAAGGGCTAGCAAGGGCTATCACAACATCATCTCAATTAAAAATGACCAATTTGTTCCAGTTTCAATAAAATCTTCGTGAGGAGATTGAGAATACTATGGAACCTAACACTTCGAGAATTTTCTTGAAGCTTTCGAAGGATGTATAGTTATTCATCGACATCTATAATCTTTCTATTTCGTGACCTACTCGTTGTGATGTGGGGATTGGGGGCTAAAGGGCATCAGAACCTTCATAACCCGTACTCACCAGATACCCTACGTCACACGACAATATTGGAGAGAATTAGCAGCAAGGGTGGAAATGCGTGGATAAGATGTGTTGAAATCACATCTACTTCGGGGAATGAAGTGAAAAGGGATTCACCCGATTTCTGGACCCATCTAGGCGCTGGCTGATTTGGAACAAGGATTCAATGAAGATTCTTCCACTTTAGTGCAGAAACCGCTAGGATATCTCGCATGGTAGAAACACTTTTTTTTCTTACCTGCATAGATCTGGTTTGAGATCTGGGTATCACGACATATTGCCGCTGAACTAGGGTTTTGGAGCCCTTCAAGTTATTGTTGATAGCTGAACCACCTGGCACTCACTGGGGTTGAACCCCGCACTATCCACTATCGATATGGATAACTGAAATAATGGTATGAAAATCGGTATGTAATGTTTTCAAACATAATGATTGAACTGTACATTACTCATTCAATGGAGCGTCAATTGATCAAGATAATTTAGGCATTTATTCTTCAAATCCTACTTCAATCAATACCCTTAATACGGAATGGTTGGGATAAGTACAGTTACGGGTTTGGGGGTTAAAATGCTTAGAGGGGTAACAGTCGGCGCAGTCGCAGGTCGTGATTACCTTCTTAACCCCATCATGAGTTCTTTCCTCGATGGAATAACCATGATCATCAAATTTCCGATCAACATCGTTATTGAAGACCTCTTTCTTATTATTTCTTGTTTTCTAATCTCCATTGAATCATTTATTTCCCTCGTTCTCTATGGCACCCCTAGACAGCCATATACTACGTATCACGAACCTTACCTCAAAGACTGTTTGACTTCTCTTCCGCGTTCAGATCGTAAGACTTTGAACAATACAAACGAGTCATTCTCAATCTTCAGAAAGTTCACGGACCGACAAGACGAACACATAGCTAGGTATTTATCACATTGGCACCGTCATATATCTTTCCTGCAGCTGCGAGGTTCCGCAGTCATGCCGTAGTATCACAGACATCGTCTGATATCCTTCTCTATAGCATTTTCGAGACTCAAGCATAGTTCAAGCCTCGATTCATGTATACCGTGGGAGAGGATACCATACTCCGAATCATTCTTCCATCTATTATCGCGTGTGTAGCAATTATTTTGGCGTATTCGGCTTTGAACCTTTTCTACAAACATCAATTCGGAAGCCAACGTCGCGATTCATCACCACATACCTTATGAAGGCGACAGTAAAAGGATTCACGGTTCTAATCATTCTGTTTGGGGCCACCGGTCTTTGTCTCCTCGCAATTCTTTTCTACATGAGCTTCATGAAAATATACAGGCGTCGGATATCGATCGCCGGCGTTATCCGTGAAAATTCTATGGCATGGCGTACCAAGGTGTAAGAATGCTCGCCTCCATGTGTTCCCGTTTTGAACACATTCGGTGGAGCTATTGAGAAACACCTTACCGATTCTTGCCGACAACTTTCTTTCACGGTCCTTTTCTGGATGGCAAACGATATTCCTCATATTGGCCAGTGCAATTGGCTGAAGAATAGCGTGGCTTCTCCGATCTGGTGGCAGATCTTTTCAGATCTTTTGCATCACAAACTCGATCTCTCATGGTCAATACGCCGAATGATCGGACACACATCAATCGGCACTCATATTCTGGATGGGCATCATAATGGGACTGTTCAGTAATCAATCAAATTGGAAGGAGCGCATCGCTCCTGTCATGTTAGACTAGAGTGTTCTACTGAGGGGTGATACCAAGAATCCTTTGTTATTGCGCGGTTTATTGAGATTGCGATCGACGTTTAGATAGCTCACTGCATAGAATACGAAAGTTTTTCTGCGAAATCACCCGAAAAAATCTTTATTACAGGGTTATCACCTTCCTTGTGGTGATTCTTGACCGCTACCCGATGCCTGATTCCACTCAATTCCATGCATACTGACAGAATCGCCAATTTAGGAAGGCCGTTATATGGTCCACAACCTCATTCTCTCAAATATCGCGATCCTCCTGACACCCAATCTAGATTTAGATCTCCGAATCTCAAGCCGTGTGAAGTACACATCTCATCTTGTCTTTTTCAACCCCCAGAGATCTCTCCACTTAGATTGACGGGGTGCGCTATCGTGAGACAAGTCTCAATTTTCTTCAGATCAACGTTGCATACAAATATCTTCAAGATGTGGAAAAACTCCCATAGAACGGTCAAAGCTGCAGATAATCGTCATGTTCATATGATTAATTCTTGCATATATTTTCCTAGTGTCTTCTAATAGAACAAGGCGAACCCCTGAAAATTTCGACAGCTCGATAAAGTATTAAGGTTAAATTTTTTTTGGCCCGGTAGTAAGGTGCTACGAAAAACATCGGATAACAAGATCTAGACTGGTGGATCAGCAGACCCTCCGAGGTTCTGGGTCCGGGCCACTTTTCCCCGGTGAACAGACTCCCGAGTGTCTTGTCCCACGGCAATTGGCTTGTCGCTGGAGTGGTGCTGATGAGGTTGGTAATTATATACGTCATTTTCTGGACAAGATGATCATCTTGACATAAGGCGATTAGGGGTATTGTTCTTTCTTTTGTTTGATCGCGATACGTTGGTGAGATATTAGGTGGTTTAGATTGGCCAGATGTAATGTGTTTTGGTGGTTGAGATCGTACCCCTGATTGTTGATGTAAGAGGCTCTATCTTTTACCCATGAATCGATGTTGAAGTTTCTTGCATAGGAGGGATTAGTTTCTGCTTTTCTTTCTCGAAGTTGGATACAGGAAGGAATAATCCGTTCTCAAAGTAATTTTTTGCTTGCTGGGCGCTGCAAATCAAACCTTGAATATCATGAGTTTTAACTTCCCATCAAAAGTTATCTCGGGCCTCTACTTCTCCTTCTCTCTCCAGTGCGTGTATCTCACAACATGCACTTCAGACTACCAAAGTGGCAATGTCATAAATCTTCTCATTATGCTTCCATTTACAGCGCTCTTACGCCTCTCTGCCCAATATATCCGTTGGGTGCTCAATGTCATCTCTGCCGACAACGAGGGGCATTGTCAATCAACGAGACGACTGAATGAACAGTTAGGTAAGAGTGGTCGTTAGAAACAGCCTGGCTTATACATTACAACCCAAAAGGCAGACAGATACGAGAGAGGAAACAATGGACTAGCACGCAGATAAACAAATGTGTCTGAGACTGGGTCGATAATGGTCATTAAGGGCTATCAGGACATTTGGAGCAACTTCTCATTTTACGGTCAGATGGATGGACATATTAGACTGACTTGCCTATCGATGGTATTCTATGGTGGGCACTCCGTCGAATTTCTTTATATGGGCTATGACTTGACATTTTTCGTAGGTCCATTCATAGGTGAATTGCCGGTGTTAAGTGTATTGACTCATAACGAGAAACGAAATCTATTAGGAATTCAGATTACAGACGCGTTCTAAATTGGGAGTGGAAAATGGTCTTTTGCGGAAACTTATTCGTGGACAGGGAGAGAATCATCCTGCAGTATCATCATGATAGATTGAAAAGCTGTTTTTCATTTTGGTTTCAACCCAAGAGATTTATGGATGAGAATATGAAGATATTTTGTCAATACTACACAGAGGTTTGAAAGTTCTAAGTCCCTTATGTTACTGGATATACTCACTATGCAGACGATGCATCGCATCTAATCTCTTGCCTACAATTTCATCTTTATATTCTCATCTATATAGCATACGACTGTATCGTCAACACCCACATAACCCATCAAATCTCCCCATCAAAAGTCTTAATTTTCTTAATCAAAAATCTCACGATGTGAATTATCATAGATGATCTAACTACACGAATACCAAAGATTCATGATCCCAAGCAAACCACCCCGCAAAGCCGTAACACAAAGACACCTCAAAAAACAGGGTCCCGATCAGATAACACGGGAAGGGCACCAGTCCCGCAAGGGATTATCCGACGAAGCGACGGGCCGCACCGGCGTTTTGAGGAAGCGCCGTATCATGTGGGCGGATTATTGATGGAGAGTGAGAAAGCTTGTTTGACGGGATGGGAAATGTATGTATTACATGAACTGAGGGGCAATAAAGAAGATGAGAAAGGATATGACATGAGTGAGGAAGGGAAATACCTAGAAAGGGTAGAATGATGAAAAGAAATTCATTATACGATATTAGTTTTTGCGAGTACCGGATGGGATATCGGGTATCATATACGATCGGGTAGGTATTCAGGCTATGTATTCGGGTAACCTTTATATAAGTAGGTAGCTACATACTAGGTACCTAGGTACCTATGCATAGGAGCGAGTACCTAATAAAAGCCTTGCAAGTATGCATATCTCTCTGCATGAACCGTCTAGTCTCTCGCCTATACACCTATCTAACTCCCAATATCACGAAAACAACTCCGTAGAACCTTACACGATAGCCCCCAAATCGTTATCCCTCGTGATATATGAACACCAATTCCGATTTTCTGGTTAAAGTTTGAATCTAAACCCGACATCCAGATCCATGGCTGTGGGAATCTCAAAAAAAAATCGTGTGGTGCGATCAGGAAGATAGTTCCGAAGATTGGGCTGATGTCAAGTTGTTAGAAAGGGAGGATGGGTGATGTGGTTCTGGATCGGCAGT